CCCCCTGTCCCCCTGTCACCACCCAGTCCCCTGCCATCACTCTGGAGCACCCAGGGGTGGGGGACACACAAAACCAGGGCCTGATCCCATCCTCAGTTCCCCCCAAAAGTGGAGTCACAGCCCACAGACAGGAGGGAGCCCCAAGATGATCCCCACTTCCTCAATCACCTCAGGGGACCGGTCCCCATGGGCAGGGGGTGTCACACCGATGCCCCTCCTTATGTAAAGCCCCCTGCCCACCTCCCTGAGATGCTCCGTCTTTTTTTTTCTCCCTGAGCCCTAATCTTTGCCATCTTGGGCTAATTGGATTTCCTGGGTCACATGGCAAGATAAAAAGTCCCCAAATCCCACGGTCAAAAAAAATCAGGTTATCCATGGGGAATTAAGGGAGAGAGCGGGGGGCAGCCAGCAGCAAGGACCCACCAAAGCGTGCTGCCAGCTTGGGGCATCCCAGAGTCAGGGTGTGGGGTACCTGGCTCACGTCTTTTGGAATTTCTGGTTCACCCTCCAGTGCCCACCTCGTCCCCGAGGTGTGCGTGTTATCTCCTTGAAGAGCTGGAAAAGCCTGGGGACCTAGAGGAGCTTGTGGAGTTATTGGAGGAGGAGGAGGAGAACGAAGCCATGGGGAGCGGGGCCAGTGCTGAGGACAAGGAAATGGCCAAGAGGTCCAAGGAGCTGGAGAAGAAGCTCCAGGAGGATGCGGATAAGGAGGCCAAGACAGTCAAGTTGCTGCTGCTTGGTAAGGCTGAAGGGGATGTCCCCTGGAGATGTCCCGTGTTTCTACTCCGTTGAGCCTCAGGGGACGTGGGGATGGGGACAGGGAACTCATGACCCCCTGGGCTCCTCCTGCCCTGTCCCTGGTACCCCCTGGACAAGCTGCCATCAGCCTGGAGAGGTTGTCCTGCCACCAGGACATCCCCAGGTTATCCCTGGGAAGGGCTGGAGGTGGCATCGGCTCTTGGGGATGGCAGGCACGAAGGGGACAGTGGGGGGACAGGGGATGGGATGAAGACACGGGGTCCCACTGACGATGTTCCACATCTCAGGGGGCTCAGCGAGAGCCTGGGGAGCTCCTGCCACCAGCACCCCAAAAGCTGCTGGTGGGTGCCAGGCAGGAGGAGATTGTTCCTTGGGGGTCCCTCCGCACCCCACGGGGCAAGGGGGTGACCCTGTGGGGCAGGGGGGTGACTCCATGGGGCAGGGGCCAGCAGTGGTGCCTTATCCAGGTGGGGGGGCTGGGTTCAAGGCGATTAACACCCTAATTCTAAGCAGCTTCCTGTGCTGCCCTAAGCCGCTTACGGCCCCAAAGGCATCGCCGGGCTCTGCCCACGGTGGGCGGGAGGTGTGGGACCTGGGGGACCTGCACCCAGGGGGTTCCCACCACCCTGGGGGTCCCCGAGCTGTGGTCCCACACAGGGTGCAAAGGGTGACAGAAGTGTGGGGATGATGGCAGTGGTGGGAAGAGGCCAGGCTGGGTGTCCAGGGTGGGGGACAGTGGCTCTGGTCCCCATGGGGTGCCCATCGCTGTGGCATCAGGCCCTGATGGGCACTAAGGTGTCCCTCCCACCCTTTTCCAGGGGCTGGAGAGTCAGGGAAGAGCACCATCGTGAAGCAGATGAAGTGAGTATGGCCTCAGCCAGACTGGGGAGGGGGAGGCCACCAGGATGAGCCACCAGCTCTCAGACATGGGATGGCTGGACCCCCAGTCACCCCCCCATGTCACCTGGTGGTGCCCAGTGTGGGGTGGTGATTCCCACCCCAGAGGGGACGTCCTGGCTTGGGGCTGAAGTCACTGTGCCTGCCAGGATCATCCACCAGGACGGTTACACGGAGGAGGAGTGCATGGAGTTCAAGTCCATCATCTACGGGAACATCCTCCAGTCCATCCTGGCCATCATCCGCGCCATGTCCACACTGGGCATCGACTACGCCGAGTCCTCCTGCGCGGTCAGTTGGGGTGGTGTCCCCATCCCCCCAAACCCCATGAGGTGGGGCCAGGGCAGCCCCTGGAACCAGGGTCCACGGAAGCCCCATGTTGTACCCCCAGTCCTGAGGGCACTTTGGGGGAACAGGGGCCGAGGGAAGGTTGGTGATGAAGGTCCCTCTCACAGGATGAAGGCCGGCTGCTCTTCAACCTGGCTGACTCCATCGAGGAGGGCACGATGCCCCCCGAGCTGGTCGCCTGCATCAAGAAGCTGTGGAAGGATGGGGGTGTTCAGGCGTGTTTTGACCGTGCTGCCGAGTATCAGCTCAACGACTCAGCCGCGTAGTGAGTGGGGACGTGGCGGGCACAACGGGGACTGGCCTGGGGACCCCCTCACAGCCAGCTCCAACCCAGCCTGGCACAATCCATCTCCTCCCTGCTCCTGGGAATACCCTGAGCCTGCCATTCTCCATCCCACCAGTGTCATCCTCTATCCCACTGGTGCCATCACCCATCCCACCAGTACATTTCCCCAATCCCACCAGTGCTATCCAACCTCCCACTGCTGCTGTCCTCCATTCCATCAGTGCTGTCCTACATCCTCCATCCAGCTGCTGCCATTCTGCATACCAGAAGTGCCATCCTCCATCCCACTGCTGCCATCATCCATCCCAGCAGTGCCATCCCCATCCCAGAAGTGTTGCTGACCCCACCCTTGATGTCCCTCAGCTCCCCCAGGGATGTCACTGCCCTGAAGTCTCAGTGTTTGGCAGAGCTCAGCCCCACAACCATCCCCAGAAATCCAGGGAAAGGGGGAGACATGGGCAGCCTCTCGGCAGCAGGTCACATCCCTTCCTGTCCCCCCAGTTACCTGAACCAGCTGGACAGGATCACAGCCCCCAACTACCTCCCCAACGAGCAGGATGTGTTGCGATCTCGAGTGAAGACCACAGGGATCATCGAGACCAAGTTCTCTGTCAAAGACCTGAATTTCAGGTACGTGGGAGCCTGCCCCACCTTCGTGACCACGCCTCCATGATTCCCCCCAGTTCTGATGGCGGGGAGGGATTTTGGGATGATCCTGACACTCAAGGGACCACCAGTGCTCTCCCATGGACAGTGATTCCTGTCCCCCGAGGATGTGGCACTGGAACCATCACATGGGGGGTGTCAGGACCAGATGTGTGTGTCCCTCATCCTTGTCCCCTCTCCAGGATGTTCGACGTGGGAGGGCAGCGCTCAGAGAGGAAGAAGTGGATCCACTGCTTTGAGGGGGTGACCTGCATCATCTTCTGCGGGGCCCTGAGCGCCTACGACATGGTGCTGGTGGAGGACGATGAAGTGGTGGGTTGGGGTCCTGGAGACACTGGGAGCCAAGGGGGAGAGGAACGGGGAGCTCCAAGGGGGCTCTGAAGAGGGAGGAACAACACTCTGCACTGTCAGATGCTCTGGGAGGTCCAGGAAAGGTGTGGGAGATGAGGGATGGAGCTGGTTCCCAGCAAGTTGCACCTGGTAAAGGTGTTTGCACTTCCTCTGGGTCATGAATCCATGTGTCTTGCCTATGAGGAAACCCCCGAGTGCTCCTGTGCAGATCCTCAGAGCCACCAGAGAATGGCCACACAGCCAGACAACTGGAGCAAAGCCAAAGGGAAGGGCAGGAAGAGCCAGGAAACTGCTGGGATGAAGGAAAATCTGGTCCTGAGGCACCTCCTGCCTCACTGTGCCCTCTGAGGTGAGCAGAGGGGGTAAGGAGGGACAGCTCCCACCCTCCCAGTGTGGGGGCACAAGGACGTGATCCATTGTGTCCAGTGAGGGATGCACCAGCAGAGCCCTGGGAAAGCAGCTCGGAGGGCACAGATCCAGAGAGGAGGAACACGGAAGCTCCATAATGGGTTTTTCTTTAAAGAAATGAGATAATGGATGAAGACAAGAGCAGGAGCCGCTTCTTCCCTGGCATCTCCTCCACGTTCCATGGCTGCTCCTTGGCATCCAGATACCTTCTGCTGAAGCTGGATCAGGATCTGCCATCCCTGGGCCCTGCCATGGCTGGGCAGGAGCTCACAGCCCATTCCCAGCCACGTGCAGGAGAGCATCCTTCCCATGGGAGCCCTTAGGAGAGGCTGGAATGCTCACCCAGTGCAGGATAGGGCAGGATTGGGCAGAGCCAGTGCTCTGCATACAGAAAAGCTTCTGTGATAGGAAGCTGGATGAGGGAAAACCATCCCTGGAGAACCCACATGCTGCCCACAAAGATGGAGCGTCACCCTTACATCAAGAAAACCCCCCCACTGGACTTGGCTCTGCCTAGATGGATCCTCATCCCCTCAGGATGATCCAGCAGCAAACTAAGAATTCAACATCTGCTCTAAATCTGGAGTTTTCCTTTTCCCAGCTCTTTCCTGAAGCTGTGGGTAACAGCCAGAAGCCACAATCCAACACAAGCATCCACCTGCTGACTGGAATGGTGCTCACTGAGGACCTTCCTCGCAGGCTGCGAGGTCTCCATGGGCAAATTTCCCAGTAAAATCACCGCAATCCATTTCTGGCAATCCCAAGAGGGACTGGAACCACTCCCAACCCGGAGCATCACCTGATTTATCTGTGATTTCTGGGTGGGGAGGAGGGACTGGGCAGGCAGCAGGACCAGCTGCTGCTGTGGCAAAGTGGGAAAAGTTAATTTCTCGGGAATGGGGGTTGAGGGTGGCCCAAAGGGGGTGTCAATCCCTGACAATCTGCTTCCCTGCAGAACCGGATGCACGAATCCCTGCACCTATTCAACAGTATATGCAACCACAAGTTCTTTGCTGCCACGTCCATCATCCTCTTCCTCAACAAGAAGGACCTTTTTGAGGAAAAGATTAAGAAAGTCCATCTCAGCATCTGCTTCCCAGAGTATGATGGTGAGTTTGGACCCTTCCTGGCCTTACCACTCCTCCTCGAGACCCCCCCAAACCAGGGGCTGAGGAGCTGTGTGGTCCCAGCAAAGATGTGGCAACTCGGATTTGGGATATGTTGTCAGAGGGCTGGGGAAGGGGAGATGAGGATGAGAACTGGCTATATCCCAAAAAATGGCTGTGAAGGGGATGAGGATGAGCAGCTCCATTCTGCTCTGTGGGGTGGTAAGTCAAATCCTGGGAGGTTGGAGCGGAGGAGAGGACGGATGTGGCATTTGGAAGATCAGAAATGGGGTAAAAAGGAGTTTTGTGCTACACATGGTCAGCACTTCACCCTTTTCCTTGGCTGCTCACCCCCATGGGAGCAGCTTGGCATCGATCCCTCCCTCCACAGGTCCAAACACATTTGAGGATGCAGGGAATTACATCAAGACCCAATTCCTGGATCTCAACATGCGGAAGGACGTGAAGGAGATCTACAGCCACATGACCTGTGCCACAGACACGCAGAACGTCAAGTTTGTCTTCGACGCTGTCACAGACGTGATCATCAAAGAGAACCTCAAGGACTGCGGCCTCTTCTGAGCACCAGCAGGTATGGGAGAGAGGCTGGAGCCAGAAAACAGGGACAGGAGAGGGGAGGAGGGCGGTCAGAGCTGGCTCCATCCCAAAAAGGGCTGGGGAAGGGGATGAGGAAGAGCAGAGCTGACTCCATCCTAGAAAAAGGGCTGGAAAAGGGGAGGAGAATGAAGATGATCAGAGCTGGATCCCTCTGAAGAAAGAGTTGGGGAAGGGGACAGGGATGAAAATGATCAGAGTTGGCTCCATCCCAGAAAAGACTGGGGAAGGAGAGGGAGGTGAGGAAGAGCCAGTTCCATCCCAGAAAAAGGGGTGGGGAAGGGGTAAGGCTGATCAGAGTTGGCTCCATTCCAGAAAAAGCTCGAGAAGGGGAGAAAAAAGAGCAGAGTTGGCTCCATCCCCAAAAAAAGGCTGGGGAAGAAGGAAAAGGAGGGGCATGATCAGAACCAGCTCCATCCCCAAAAGAAAGGGCTGGGATGGGGGATAAGGACGACCAGAACCAGCTCAATCCCAAAAACAATCCTCAGGAAGGAAGAAGGGGATGAAGAAAAGCAGCTCCATCCCCCCCATCCCCCAAAAAAGGCTAAGGAAGGGGCTGGAGGTAAGGATGAGCAGAGTTGGTGCCATCCCAAAAAAACAGCTGGGGATGAAGATGATGAAGAGAGCTGGATCCATCCCCCAAAAAAGGACTGGGAGGGGAATAAGGATGATCAGAGCTGGCTCCATCCCATTTTCTGGGGTGGTGGGATGTAGGTTCCCCCTGGTTTTGGCATCAAGTCCTGGAAATCCTACGAGTAGGGGAGGGGAGGATGGACTGGGTACAGTGGAGAGGGGGAGTCTGGGGTCCCATCAGCCCAGGGACGTGGTCACATCCCTGTGCTGAACTCCCATGGGATGATGGATGGATTCAGTCCCATCCCACAGTGGGGTGGGCTCCGACAGACAATTCCCACCCTTGCACATGGAGTGATAAAAACAGATTCCCAAATCCTCCACCTGAGCTAAAGGAAATAATTTTATTTCTCTCCTGTTGCAATTCTACCTGCCCAGCCTCAGCAGATGGGAATATCCCAATGCACGCTCTGCTGCTCCCAGCCATTCAGCTCATCCTAAAACTTTAATTAGGGTTTATCACCCTAATTAGGGTTTGTCATGCTAATTCTTGCACTAATTCTGAGCAGCAGCAGGAATTCCATCCTCTTTCCCTCCTTTCCAAGCAGCTCCCAGCCACTAGCTCTGGCACTTTGTTTTTCAGGGACCCTCTGGTGTTTCCCTTATCGTTGAATATTAACAAAAAAGCAGGAAAAAGCTAAAAAAAGAAACAAAAACTACCAAAAAACCCTCAAGCAGGTTCCCTGCAGGCAGGAGGCACCTGAGGTGACACTTGGAAAAACGGGGGGTGGAGGTGGGGGGGATGCTCCATTCTCATCACCACGGAGGAAGGCAAAGGGATGAGGTGACACATGTCCCTGAAATCCCACCTGAGTTTTTCCCTTCTTTCCATAAAATTGCTCCTCCAAGCCCTTCTCTGTGTGTGTTTAACTCCCTGTTTTTTCTCCCTCCCTCCCAGAAGAAGAAAACATTCCCGTCTCACCGTTCTGCTGAGCAGAGCCAAAGGAAGAACCAACCCCCACCACACGTCACTCGCTCCCACTTTTTCTATGACCTGCCCAAATCCGCCTCCTTCCAAACCCAAACTAGGAAGGGGCTGAAGCTCAACTTCCTGCTCCCTTTCATGGCCATTTCCTCTTTTTTCTCCAAGGAAGAGCCCCCGTTCTCAGCGTTTTACAGGAGGCTTGACAGCAGAGAGCACAGGCAGGCATAGGAATATTGAGGGAATTTGGGAGGTAGGATAGACATTGCCTGTCCCTCTGCAGCCCATTCCTGCCCTTGGATCAAAGCTGGATTAATCCAGGATGGAATTTCTGAGGAAGGTGGAGGCTGCGTCACCTCCGAGACGCTCCTGGGAACCAACCTCAGCCCTTCCTGGGAACCAACATCAGCCCTTGGGCAGGACAAATCAGGGGTCTGTGGGGTTGTTTTGGGCCCTAAAGGGAGGGAATTTCTCAGGCAGGAGGGGCTGGGGAAGGGAATCCCAACTCCAGCCCAGGAATGGGCTGGATAAAGAGGAAATGGTTACTTGAAAGATTTTCATTCTGCTACTTAGAGCTGCATTTGCTCTGTCTGTTTGTAAATAATCCATAGATGAGCCCTGTATCCATCCTCTCCCTGTTTCCTGCAGAGATCTCCTGTCCAGCTTCATTTAACTGTAGGAAAACACAATAAAGGAATACGCATGATGTGGATTTTCTTCCTTTCTCCCTCTTCCACTTTGCTCCGTTTCTGTGTCCCAGAGCTTGGATCAAGGGATATTTCAGCTGCTTTGCATCCATTCTGGGGGTATATGGATCTCACCTGGATCACCCCATGGCCACTGCTGGCCTCCCGGGGGTGGCCAGCACCCTTGGATGAGATGATGCTCCTGGATGAGTTTGAAGGATGAGTTATCCCATGTAGGATGGCTGGAAGGGAATTGTCAAGCAGACACAGCTCCAGACAGCTTGGAAAAGATTCCAGAGCAGGGAATCTCCCTCAGGGCTCCCCCTGCCAGCAGGCACAAGCCTCCCTGAGGAATTTATCCTGGGTTTCCCAGCAAGTGTTCTCACCTCCATCCTGCAGAAGTGCCCAGAGCAGAATTCCCATGGGGGTCACAGCAGCCAGTGAGATTTGGGCTATAAATAAGCAGTAATTATCCATCTGCCAATATCCCCATGGGCAATGGGAGTCCTAGCATGTTCCAATTGTGCCAGCACAACTCAAGTCTTTGGGGGCAGCACAACATCAACAGTGGTGGGTGATAAAGCACGAGGAACCCCCCTGTCCAGATAATTCCACCCATTTCCCATCAAATCTCTTCCTTTCCTTCTCCAGCAAAGCACAAAAGCTGGGAACACTCCTGGAAAAAGGAAGAATAAAGTAGAGAAAAAGCTACAGTCTTTACTCACCATTTTAATACTGCCAACAAGTCTAACAGATCCAACTGTACACATGACAAACTGGGAGGAGTCTGGATGCAATCATGTATCAGCAAAGGAATGTAGGACTGGTTAGGGATGGCACTAGAGGGAAACGGGGATTTGGCACCACACAGACAAAGTAAAGGCATGCTCAGGACAGGGCTGGGCAGGGAGGGCCATGGGAAAGGCAGCACAGAATAATCCACCGTTTTCATCCCAAAAAATGCACAGGAATCAGTGGTTTGGGAGCTGGGAAGCAGCAGTTTTCCCCCCAGCGAGGGCTCAGCTCCTCTCCCCACCGAGGTAGGATTATGCTGAGCACAAATCCCTTCCCATACTGGCATAAAACTGGGCTCAAACCCCCAACAGAACCTAAACCCTCCTTCTGCTGCAGGAGCCTTTCCCAAAGCCTGGGGGGAGCAGGATGGTAACAAATCACACATGGAAAAAAAGCCGAAGCTCTAAGGATACCTTAGTAGCTGCAGAAATATTAAATCCTGGCCATAGCAAGTGTTAAAAACAAGGAATTCCTGCTAAGAGGAATATTTTCTGCAGGATCTGCTCACATGTGCATAGTTAAGTGATTTTTTTTTTTGTTGCTTTTTTTAATTATTATTATTTTTAAAACAAGGTTTGCAAATAAAGAAATAAAGTTTAGTAAAGTTATAGTTTTCTCGATGGAAAAAAAAAAAAATAACCTTAAAAACAGACTAGTGGTGGCTTGTTAACCAAAGGAAGAGAGAAAGCTACATATCCAGGGTCTGGAATCCAGCTGGAATCCACCGCACATCCCGGAGATCACGCCGTCCAACGATGCCAGGAGGATCTACTCCCACTACGTGGCTTCACTGTGCCCTAATTCCACATCCCACAGCAATAAAAGGTCCCTAAGACAGAAGATTGTGCTAAAGAATTCCAGGATTCCACATGTTCTCTGCTCCTGGGTCATGCTCGTCGCTGTCCCCATGAGGCAGCAAGAGGCTGGGGCTCACCAGGCAGAAACACTGGGAAGGAAACCAGGAATGTAGAAGGGAGCAGAGAGAGCTGCTCCCAGCAGGACACCCCGAGCTGGATTTACCTCTCAGTAGAGCCCACATTCCTTGAGGTTGTTTTTGATGATGACGTCGGTGACGGCGTCGAAGACGAACTGGACGTTCTTGGTGTCGGTGGCGCAGGTGAAGTGGGTGTAGATCTCCTTGGTGTCCTTCCTCCGGTTCAGATCCTCAAACTGGCACTGGATGTAGGCGGCTGCCTCCTCGTACGTGTTGGAGCCTGGAAAGGAGAAGATCCCTGGCTTTGCCCACCGGCTCACGAGAGCCTTTAAGTCCATACTAAGCTGCTTGCAACCATCTGCCTTATCCAGCTACAAATCCAAATCCACCATTAACTCCTTCTGGGAGATCTGAAGTCTATTCCCTGGGCAGTGACCTTGGACATGGGATCCAGGGATTGCTGTGCTGGGACAGCCACGCTCCACAGAGAGTAACAAATCATGGGAGACACAGGCTGGAAGGGACCTTCAATCCCATCTCGTTCCACCCCCTACCAGGAACAGGGACACCCTGCACTACAGCAGCTTGCTCCAAGCCTTGTCCAGACTGGCCTCAAGCACTTCCAGAGACAGGGAATCCACAGCTCCTCTGGGAATCACAGAAATCAACAGGCTTGAAGAGATTTGAAGGATGTTTTTAAAGGTAGAAATGCCTTGAGCAGTGGCCAGGTAAAACCTTCCACCTGTGTGGAAGCACAGTAGGGAGGGGCTCTGGGCACCCAACACGAACACTCCAGGGTGGAGGTGTCCAGTCTTGTTCTGTCCAGGAGCCAGAGCAAGACATGGTTAAGTTCCACTGCCTCTAAAATAGAATTTAAATGGAATTATTGTTCCACTAAGGTGTGGAAACGGAGAAGTGACTTTGATTTGTTGGAATGCAACACTTTATTCCAGGGGAGGACAAAGGTTGTTCCCAACCACAGCTTTTCCAAGAAAATGAGCTACCAGCCAACTGAGCAGGCCAGAGCTGCTGTCCAGGAGGCACAGGGAAGGAACTGGGGGAAAAGTTTGTAACTGATTCTGGGTTGTGAAAGGCTCTGACTCAGGCATTCCTGGCTGGTGACACAGATGATCCCATGATCCCAGTGATCCCAGCCTACCTGTGTACTCTGGGTAGCAGATCGTTAGCGGGCTCTTCTTAATCTTCTCCTCAAACAGGTCTTTCTTGTTCAGGAAGAGGATGATGGAGGTGTCTGTGAACCATTTGTTGTTACAGATGCTGTCAAAGAGTTTCATACTCTCGTGCATCCGGTTCTGGAAAAGGAAATCCAACGGGAGAGACGTTAGGGAAGGGTGGGATGGAGGAGAGAAGCTCTGAGGCAGACTCAGAATTGGGGTGTCACCACCACATCCTCACTGCCATTGCCCCAGGAGGAGCACCGGGGGATCAGGTCACCTCCTCCTGTTCCTTCCTGGAGTGACTCACACGCAGGGAACAAGCCATGAGAACAACTCCAGGCACGTCCCAGCAACCAGGAAGGTGGAAAACCTCATGGATGGGTTGTATTTATCACTTTGTGGGGCAAGATTCCACCGGCTGATCCAAGGAGTGCTTGTCCTTGCAGCTCTCAGACAATTTAACAGGAGGAGTATGCCAGGAACATTCCAGCCTGGAGCAGGATGGAGCTAGGATGCTCCCAGCTCCCTTCCATGCAGCCATAAATCCCGTGTCACGCACCATCTCCTCATCCTCAGCCAACACCAGGTCGTAGTCACTCAGGGCCACACAGAAAATGATGGCTGTCACTCCCTCGAAGCAGTGGATCCACTTCTTCCGCTCCGAGCGCTGCCCTCCCACGTCGAACATCCTGGGAGAGGCAGGAGAAGTGGCTCAGGAGCTGTGCACACCCCTCCTGCCCAGCCCTGTGGTGTTCCCAAGGATGGGGGGAGGTTGAGCAGCAGGTTGGGAATACAGGAGCTTCCCTTGGGAGAGCGGGTTTTAAAATTCCCTTATTGGGAGAGGGGATTTTAAATCAAAATTCTCTCTTTTCTTTTAAGCCAGGGTGGATAGAGCTTGCAGCAACCTGGGCTAGTGGAAGGTGTCCCTGCCTGTCTGGATCCAGGTGTCCCTGGATGAGATTTAATATCCCTTCCACACCAAACCATTCCATGATTCTGGTTTACAGCAGGAAGAACTGGAAGTCACCATCCAGAGCTCTGCTGATTTTGTTCCCTCTCCTATTTCCTTAGCAACAACCCATTTGCTTGACTGGACTCCAAACACATTCTCACAGCACCTCCAGGGAAATGGATTATTGGGAACACTCTACCTGCAAGCTCCTGCTGAGACCCAGAAGGAAATTAAGGGGGTTAAGAAATAATTTCATGTATTAAAAAATAATCTGAGGTATTGGAGGTTAAAGGCTGAGCAGTTGCTTATGGAATTTCTGTATAAATTGAATTAAGTTTCTAATTAAATAGAAATTTGTGTCACAGGTAGTCCCAGCCCCTGCTCATTGAAATATTTTGATGAGAGCCCAGGATTGGGATTTAATTAAATCGAGTTAATATCTGAGTTATTAAATCATAGATATTGATTTGTTCCCAGAGCAGACAAGGAGTTGTCTAGAAGGGGATTTAATGATCCCAAACTAACTCCCTTCCCTAACTCATCTTCTATTTAACCCTCTGGTCCAGAAGGCAAGATGGAAATCTCTGTGAGAATCCAGGATATGTACATGGCTTGAATCATTTGCCATTAGCACAGAGAGATCCATGAAGGAAAAGCATCCCTGACAACCCAGCTCATCCCAGTTCCAGTCACTGTGGCACCCCCATCCCATTATTAATGTCTGAGATGGAATAAAGCAGCAGAGCTGGCAGCACCAGGGTTTTTGATGGATTAATGCTTCCCTTTGTGGAGCAAATCCCTCTGGGACAGCACCTCATGTGTCTGGGGCCCTGCACAGGATCAATGGCTCTGGGCAGGATCGGGAAGGAGGGTGGAGATGATTAAAGGAACACACTGGAGATGCTAATCCTGATCCATCATCACGGGAAGACAAGTTATTCCCTGGATGGACCAGAAGCTGCATAAATAAATTGATGATGCCGAATATTCTGGCATTTTTGTTTAAAATGTTCTTAAATTGCACAGTTTGGAAGACAAAATGCTCTTCTCCCAAAAACTGTGCAAAAGCTTCCCTCTCCAGAGGAGACCACAGAGATGCTCCAAGGACTGGAGCCCATCTGCTCTGGAGCCAGGAGAGCTGGGAAGGAGCCAGAGACACCT